AATATTCACCCGCTTTTGCCCTTATTCACAGCCAGCCTTTTGTTTTGGTGCCAATCGGGAAAAAAAACTCCTTAGCACAACAAACAGTATTAGAATCAATAACAAGGCCATGGTGTCCCGAAAGCAAAAGTTGGTATCGTTCTAGTCTCCAAACCAAACAATCGGCAAGCCCCTGAAATCAGTCGCATGCGTATTTGCGCTAGTGGTTCCGTAGTTTGCACTTCGTTTCCTTCCTTTATTTTCTTGTTATGTCCATCCAACGAAATGTAACCGGAGCAGCGCGAGCATGTCACTTCTTGGCACGGAAGTGTGGACTCGGTGCAGCGTCTGAACACAATCTCATATGAAGGAGATTGGTCGCTAGAATCAGTTTTGAAACGATGGCGTGAAATCACTCGCATGGCAGAAGTTTTAACTTCTTAGAGTGAGAAAAACCAGGTTTCTTTGCTTCGTACATATTGCCAACATGATACGATTAGCTCTTTCGGGAAGTTATCGCAAGAATGCTGAGTTGTGGGCAAGTCGGACCCACGGACGGGATTCGAACCCGGATCTTCTGATTACCGGGTTGCGTTCCCTATTATTACTATTACTATACTGCCGGGTCCACTTTTGATCTCTCAGCTCAGTGGCTATTTGTGCCATTGCCTTCGAGCACTCACACATTCAAGGCGAGCAGAAGATGCGGGTTCGAATCCCGTCCGTGGTCCGACTTTTGCCCACAACTCAGCATTCTTGTGATAACTTTCGGATCGCGCACTGCGGCGTTAAACAGCAGTTATCAAACAATAACAGCTTTTGGGAATACTTCACCTATGGCTATGTTCATACTTTGCGCCAACGTTTTGAGCGTACATCAGCTTTTTGAGCGACTGGGAAAATGTAGATAACGATTTAGCACTTTGTGCGTACGCCAGCGTTTTGACCAGTTGCCCACGAGAGCGCCTGAAACGCTAGACCAATACCTATGTATACTTTCCTAGTGGTTTGAAACGCTCAAAGGCTGCCGTACGCTCAAAACGCTAACGTAAATTATGAACGCAACCTAAACTAGAGACAGTTCTTGTGAGGTTTCAGGTTTTCTGCACTATGCGACGTAATCTGTTGTTGGGATTTCAGAAATAGTTGCTCCTTCTAACGTGTTTCCGCCTCCAATTCATGCTGCACTGTCGGTGAGATCACGATGTGTCTTCATTGCAAACCCTCTCACTGTACATTCTTTGCAAAACATAGAGAGCGAGGTAGGTCTGGATGTGACAGGTTGGCCGTGACCAGGCTACTGTACGCACAATTTTCTCTACTTTAACCTAGTTCTCAGGTCCCTAGTCTACCTTTCAATGGACAGGTGGATTGCTTACGTTTAAGTGCAGACGAAAGGAATATTGCTATTGCCTCAAATGACCTTATCAAATTGATTGATCTTACTAAAGGTGAGCATAGAGATTTCATTTTGAACTTTATCCTTCTCAATCACATTTCTCTTAGGACGTGAAATCCGAAACTTATCCGCACACTCGCTAGCTGTGACTGCACTGACACCACGTAGGAGCAGTGTGTACTCATGGGTACGTTCTTAAAAGCTTGGTGCAGTTTTTTTCTGTCCTCTATTCCCATTGTTCGGAAAAACAAAAGGATTCGAGAATGAACAATCCAAAACAGGTTGGACGGTAATCTGAGTACTGAGGCATTGAAAGCTGAGTGGATATGAGCACCGGCTCACGTCTGTGGCTTCTGGCGCAGGGCGAAGTTGGCCGATTCCTGCAAAATAATAATAGCTGCAGTAATGGCAGAAACGGTATCGCACCAACGTCAGGACCGGGCTGACCGACTGATAAAGTGAAGTCGTTAGCACTCATTGAGTTAGCCGAGTCTCAAAGTCCTATGTTAAGATAAGTCACAGAAATCAGTGAGGCCTAAGCTCAGACGTTCACTAGGATACATATCGCGCGGGGGAGGACTGCATCCGAGTCTATTGGTCGAATATGCATGAGCGCTAACGATCTCGTCAAAGAAGCTTCGAATTTGCGGCACTAGCAGGTGGGAGTCCCATCGTGATCTATTCCATGCGTGATATTTTGACGCTAATTTATCCCTCCGTCACCCGTCGCCATAGCCCGTCAAGCCCTGTGTTTGAGAGAAATGCACTATTGGAATGAAGCTTTGTGGTTTAGCCACTATCTTAATTTAGGTATCTGGCGATCACTGGATTCTACGGGATTATAATTGGATAGCCCGATCCCATCATCTGCTTAAATTTTGCAAGAAGGATACTGACCAGTTCGTTGTGTGTGAGAGAGTGAGTATTTTCGGCCGTTCTCTTATTGTTTGTCTAAATTACTTGTGTTAAGGATTCATGTAATTCAGAGGAAATTGCTGTATGTCCACTCATATCCATATCTTTACTGTTAGCCTGGCTTGCAAAAAACTTGTTAAACGAAATTTTCTTGACGCTACGTCTTTCCTAGTAGTTGGGGGAAGGGAATGCCAGTGTACATGTCAGCTTATCTCGGCACAATGAGCGACTGATTGTGAGCTCGTACTAGCAAAAAGGGGCATTTTGAATGTGAGAGGTGGGGAGAGGGGACTACAGAGTTGATAAACCGATTAAAAGAGCGGTTCTTCTACGGAATTTGTTGCAGATTTTGGCGAAAGCCTCGTGAGAACCGAATGTTCAATTACTTCTGCCAATCAAGGCTGTTAGATTTAACCTTTTACTGACCTAACGTTTCGACCTTCTCTTCTTCTGAGGCCTGAAAAATGGCTCGAGGCTTTTAATTTGTTACCTCCACCCGCCTTCCCCATGTTCCGACCTCGATCTCTGAACGCTTTCGAACAACTCAATGCTGACAACTCTCAGAAAATCTCATCGTGCGGAGCTTAGCTCACGCCGTGCGTCAGTAGAATAAGTAAGGGCGAATGACAATTGGCTTATGCGACACAATGGAACTTAAGTGAGTCTCATTCGTCCTTACTAGTTCTACTGACCCTCGGCGCGAGCTGAGGTGAGACATTCGGGCACTCGTTAGCACTCATTGCCGGGTTGTTCGGAAATGTTCAGGGAAACGCAGTCGGAAACGCTAGATTGGGAAGGGCGTTTGGTCGGTAGGTAACAAATCAAAAGTTTCGAGCCATTTTCGAGCTCTGAAAAAGACGAGAAGTTACGCCAATGAAGTTTCATCTAACAACCTCGCTTGTCAGAAATAATTGAACATTCGACATCATGCTGAGGTTTCTACAAGGGACAGCGTGGATTATTAGGCGATCTCATGGATGTGTCAGCATTGTTAGAATAGTCGATTTGCAGCTGAGCCCCGATGACATCATTCTTACCGTTGGAACTGATTCTACACTACAGCTTTATGACATCAGGAAACGATGCAGCCTTAAACAATTCGCTTCGTCTGTGAGTCCGCTAGAGCAGTAGGGTTTTTGTGAATTTTTAATCATCTATGTTCAGACCCATGGTGCAACATTTCACCCTTCGCAACGTATGGTGGCTACCTATGGTGCAGATCGAGTTGTACGATTCTGGTGTCTAGATGAACTTGTACAAATCGCCATGTCAGACGCGTTCTCCTCGAGGATTCGCTGTGCCCAGTTTGCCGATCCCCCTGGTGAGACATTTTTATTACTTGCAGTACGTAAACCATACAGTGCCCTGCACTACCATTTCTGTCTGTTTTCCAAAGTACTAAATCAGTATTCTTTGTAAAGCTTTATAAGGTTGCCTCTCTTGTTTCTGGGCGATTGATATCTTCCCTGTATTCAAACAGATGTGTTTATTCACATCTGTTATGACTTTGTTTGCTTTTGCTAGCTCACTGTCCAGGAGGTAAATTTTTTCTACGGCTCAAAAATGAAAGAATTTTAAAGTTCAGGCTGCCAACAAAAATTAGCTGATGAATTTGTAACTCTCACGATGCTCCTCGGAGCATCAAGTTTGATGCTAACCCTGTGATAAGCTGATCCTAGTCGGTCTTGTAGAGCTAATGGATCACATATTTCGAAGAAGAAGTGGTTATGCTGGTGCTCTTCTGCGATGTCGTTTGATTCAAAAATTGCGTAATTCTAGGGATTCTTTTAAAACTGGAAAGCATTAAGTCAGTTTTATAGCGCAATGTACGTACGTAGTACATTGTGATTTCTCAGCGAGAGGGTCGCATTTGGTTGCTGGAGAGAAGGGGTCCTAATCAGGAGCCCAACACCTCCACCTCCTCTCCCCCACTCCCCCCGCTCAGCAGTTTTCACTTTTCTGAGGAAAAATTGGAGAAGTGAAGTGAAAAGAATTAGAAAGTTGTAGAAATGGTTGGCAGGATGTAGTCAGGATTTTTGATGGGGCGGTCTTCATTTGCAGAAATTTCCCCTTGCGGCGGGACGTCCTAGCTTCAGTGTGTCTGATGAAGCTGGGGTTAAATTCTTTCTATGTACCTTCCGTCCTTCTTTTCACGCTAGAAATTAGATTTTTGTTTCTATTTTTGGCGCAGTTTGTCGACGGGGGGGGGCATTCGGCTTTTCATAGATGTGCCGACCCATCTAGGTAGCCTTTTCTCGAGTTGACACGTTTTAGGATGGTGGCTAGACGATCTTACTCCAGCTTCACAGGCGTTCACAAGTTTTACCATGGTGAGATTCGTAAACCGGAACTAGGGAAGCAATGTTAGTACAAAATGCCCCCCGTCGCTAAACAGCGCCCTATTTTCATTGAATGATATTGAAGTTTCATTGTATCTTAGATATGGATCCAGTACTAGTTGCATGTACCGATCACTACATGAAAACGTTGACTTGTGAACCCTGCGAATCTTTAGCTATGAATCAAATAGGGGATTTACGCAAGGTAACTTACCTTATCGTTAACTGGACTCTGGCATTGGCATTATGTGTTGAACTTTTTTAGGTTTTGAATATGAACACATCGGCTGACAGTGTGGGTGTTATTTGCACGGATTCTGTTGGTGCTGTGTCTTACTCAGTGGTTCCCATGGAGGTAATCTCGATCCAGGCTGGGTTCATACTTTGCGACCCGAGAGAATCGGCGTTTTGGAAGCGTAGGCACATAATTTGACTTTAGGTCTCACTCTAGCGTTCCAGGAGAATAGAAGAATCGCCATTGGATTAGGCGTCATAAAATAACTATGTCTGCAAAGGGTGCAGCTACAAAGTTCGCTATTCTGTGACGTCTAATCTGGCAGCCTGCTACTCTCCTGTCTCACGGCTTCTCTACTACGGCGATTCTTCATTTCTTGTAGCCCTAGATCGACACCTATTCTCCCAAAACGCCGATTCCCTCGAGTAACAAAGAACACAGCCTTACTGTGTTGACATTGCTACGTTCATGGGTTGACCTCGTAATTACAGGAGATACTTGAAGGGCCGAAAAAACCCATAGATTTTTACGATGACGATGACGACGACGAGTCGTTGTCTGACGAGATCCCTAACATGACATTACGCTGCGAATCGCCGTCTGTTTCAAGGGGAACTAATTCGGTGCCTTCAGCAATTCACATCTCTTCTTCTGATTGTGTGAGTTGATATATTCTTCTCTATACGCCAATTTCTTTCCCGGGAGATCGCTCTGGCTTTTCCGGAGATCGTTCTATGAAGTTTTATGTTTTTTTAGCGAGTAATACTTTGCAGGGAATAGACAGCTCGTCGATATATGGGAATAATCAAGTCAACCTTCCGATTCGTTCATCTTCATCAGACAGGAACGCGACCTTTAAAACGGCCACGCGCAATCTACGTGAGCCTGCCAGGAGGTAAACAGTCTTGCTCAGGAACAATTCGCTATCAAACCGCTCACACTTTGCGACAGCGTTCTGGGCGACTAGCAAAGTGGAGGTTTCGATGCAGCGTGTTGCGCCTCCATCAGCGTTTTGACCGTCAATGTTTACAGCGTTCTCCAGTGTTTCGAGCGTTTTGAGCGTCCAGCAGAGTTTTGTGCATTTTGAGTGACTACGAAAGTATAGGTATCGATTATCGCTGAAAACGCCGGTAGACGCTTAAAACGCCGCCGCAAACTATGAAGGCACTCTAGGCTTGAAATACTCTAAAAAAACCTGTCTTATTACAGTGCTCCGAAATCTCTGCATAGCGGAGCGCTAAACTACTATCGCCAATTTTTTTTTACAAATTCCCCAAGTTTTTGAATTTTGCATTGTATGGAAGCACTACTAGTAATTGGCTGACTACGTATAGCGTGAGTACTCATGTCAACACCAATACTCTCGTTGCTATGGCAATACGCTCTTTTGTCTAAATGCTTCCCTTTTACTCTACGAGCAAATACGATTTCATTCGTGCAGTTCGTTCTTTTATCGGACGTTAAGTTTTGCTTAGAAAGTTCAAAAGTAACTTTCTTTTCTTTTCTCATCCGAAATTACTCTTGGGGCCAAGAATTGGATGATTATTGGTTGTTTCCCTTTCCAATGAGCTCATTCTGAGGCAATACTTTCTTATATAATCCATTTCAGTTTACTTTTCAACTTTTTTTTTCAGACCCTGATGCTATAACGCTTTACTGTTTGGCTATGATGAGACATTATCTTACAACCGCCTTGAACTTTAGGCGAACAGACACGGACAAAGCTTTAGTTGGTCGTCCACGCAGCCCTTCAATGTCATCTGTCGCATCTTTTCAGAGTAGTAGTGATTTGCAGCCTTTAAGGTGAGATTTTTCTCCATTACTGCCCCATTTTCAGTACTCGCCTACTCTTGAACAGCCTTGAAAGGATAGGAACCAAGTTAGAAGAAGAATACTCGAAACATAAGTTAATTTGAATTAGCGGTCACTTTTTAGTCTCAGCGTTGTTCATCTCTCTCTAGTCTTTGCCCCTTTTTTGAAAATTTCCCCTTTCTTAATTTATTTTGCCAGTTATTCCTGTTGTATTGTCCTCAGTTTTCAGGACTTCTTGGAACCACGCTGCCGACTTACTGCCCCGGCGCGGCTTATCATAGTGCGAGCTCAAAGTCTAGGGCTCAGACGGAACTGAATGATTTTGTTTGGAAATGCTCGACAAAAAAGGCGGGAGTCTCTGAAAATTACCCCTGCCGTCATTTTTTTCGCTATCCGTAGGCGGTCCTGGGCCGGTTTTCAGCATATGACGTAAAATTTAAATTGTGCACCCGGTGAGCGTAAGTATTGTTTTTATCCATCACTTTGAGAAAGTGCTAAGGGTAAAAAGGGGGTAAGAGGCGGCCTTGGTGACGTAACGGACAACGCACTACCAGTTAGCATGAAATGCAGGGTGGGGTTCTACCTGGGGTCATGACTTTCGCCCATTCTTGGAATGTGGAGTGTTTTTCCTCTATATTTAAGCTTAATGAGTGTTATGGTACGGGCCAATTCGTATGCTCAATTTAGACTGAAAGAAGGCTCGCGACTTATTTGTCGGAGTGTATCGCCTGCAGCGAATGTCGCTTCACTGAAGGAAACTCCAATGGTAGCAGTACGTTCAGCAGAGAAGCCGTTGCGTCCATTGGCAACTGGAACGAAACCCCCTCGAGAGTCGAATCGACCGCTCCAGCGAGATGCACGTGTTCCCTCCAGCGGTGATGATACGAATCCAGTGCAACGAAAAGTAAGTCCTGAAGAGTTTTTTAGAGTAGTGAATCACGAGAGTCTAAACAATCTATCAGAATTCAAAGCAGGGACTGCCACTCAAAGATTTTGTTAACAAAGTGGAAAAAGGACACTACATAGCAGTGATGCAATCGAAGAAAACATCAATTGGTGAGAATTGTTGATTTTTCCCCATCTATTTTCCGTATAATTTTTTCTGCACTGAACGGTGCCCAGTCTTCAGCACGCTTGCGGCAACGTTCATATATCGCGATAACACAAGGACAGGTTCTATTAGGTTGTTCGAAAAGTCCTGCGACACTTTGATTGAATTGTTCTAGAAAAAGACCAAAAATCATTTTGGATGTTTTTATCCCTGATTAGTGGAGACTGTCCTCTGGGGTTTCTGCACATGGGTATATCATGACTTTGAGGAAGTTTTCAAAGCTTAAAAGTCCCCCAGAGATCGAGGTACTTTTCGACATGTCCTATATTATGAGTTCCTGTAG